GGGGCCGAGTCGCCAAATCGTGAGAAGTGCCGAGCTGGACGAGGATAAAATATAGTCACGGTGGCCTCCTAAGATTCGGTCGAGATCGGCACTCGACGCGAGAAGTGCCGACCTGACAGAGAGCCGATTAAGTTGGATCGTTCAAGGAGTCTTGGAGAATCCAGAAAATTCGGGTGCCGACCTGAGAGACAGGTCGGGTATTTAATAGAAGGATACGGGCTCAAAGAGTATTATAACACAAGTGGCTAAGTAATGATTGCTCATGGGATGGGCCGACCTAGCCTACGGTCCTAGGGGATCTAGCCCAGCAAAAAGAAGCTAACAGCATTTAATGCTGCCTATGTGAGCATTAAATGCCCCACCAGTAATGATTATGAGATGTCAAATCGCATTTAATGATCCGTCAGTAAAGCGCTGACCAGGACTGCGGATTTATTGTACGACAAGACAGTGCACAGTGCCGCAACAGTGGAATTAAATGATACTATAAATAGACACTTGCCTCATTTATTTTAGGGTTGTTGAATCTCAACTAACTCTGCCTTCTCTCTACTTTCTCTCTCTAAAACTGTAAGAAAACCCTTGTAAGAATTGTAAGAATATCGCAAGTGCCGACCTCGTACGAGAGGCCGACCTCGTGATCGTTTAATAAAATCGTAATTAGCTTATATCTTTCTTTTGTTTTCAGTCCCACACTTTCATTATTTACTATTTTAACCGTTGACCGAAAACGCTCGTCAACAACCCCAAACCTTTGTAATTCTGAGTATTGTAGAGAAACCATTTCCCTATTCGAGTACCTAGGAATTGTGAAACCCGGAAATTAAAATTTCTGAAATGCACCTCAAACTGAGTGCCAAACCTGACTGGGTGTAGCCACGCGAAGTGGTGGCCGAGCCCGCACGCCCGTGCTGAGAGACGTGAGGCCAACTGCAGTGGCCAACCGTTGACTCGCACGAGAGCTGCCGCCACCATCACTGAATGCACAAACTCCCCAGGTCAGTGTGTACGGTGAAACCTGAGTGGGTACATGCACGCGTCCCAGCGCCCATCATATGCAACGCCAACGTGTGTGTCACATCTCAGGTTATAGTATATTAAACCCAGTCCGACCTTGTCCTTTTAGGGGTCTTTAAACCAGATTTTTGGTCAAAGTGCATACAAGATGTTGTTCGTGTCGGCAAGGAGAGAGGCTTTGTTAATGGTATCAAACAGAACCGTGTGTTCTGAATGTACCAGATTTGAGAATAAGTGATGATTGTCGGTCCTATCATGATTTCTCGACCAAGTCAATAGCTTAGCCTGATGGTTGACTCCACCATAGGGACTTGCGAGGATGCATGACACGTTCTAGCCTCGTGATGGAGGGAATGTGTGCGTGATCTCGAGGTACGTATGAATTGGGACGAGTTGCGTGATAGGCAGAAACCCTACCTGTATGGATGTACCGGTGACCTGTTGGGACTGAGGGTCCATCAGGGAAAGGGCGGGAGGGGTACTCGTCAAAGTCCAGTAGTGGTAGTCGAGTCGAGGGCGAGACGACTTGGGAGAAGGAAACCGAGATTCAGAGGGAGTACCGAACACTTTTTGTTGATATTCCCCTTGTATTCTGGTTGTTTTAGTTTTCAAATTCCGAGGATGGAATTCTTTGTAATGTGGGTGGACTGTAATGCCCCGTTTGATTATAGATATTGATGTGGGATATTATATGCACAAGGCTAAACCGGTCTGCCCAGCCGGTCGAGAAGATCAAACCAGGAAGAAGCCAAGCCAAGAGGCGGGAGAATCGATCATTCAGATAGTCGACCAGGCAGATAGTCGACCAAATCCATCGCTCGACCAGATAAGCGATCGAGCAAACTGTTCGACCTCATCAGGTCAATTGCTTCGAGGACCTGACAGTCGGCCTAGTCACATGCGCGTGTGGGAGCCTCTAACCAAATCTCAGGAGAATATTTACCCCATGTGGAGGGGGACACGTGTCGAGAATACATTGGTGGATATCGATAACCACCTCTGACAGCTCCCCAACGCCCCCGCGTAACCTCTGACATGCGCGCGGTGTGTCAGAGTACGGACGGGCAGCTTGGGCAGCCAGCTCATCTTATCCGGGCAGCTATTAGGGCAGGTATCTCACCCCTATATAAAGGGGGTGAACCTTTTTCCCTTAAGACATTCTATTCATTCTTCACTTCAGTATACTCATACACATACTGACTTAAGCATCAGAGGCTCTTCACCGGACACAACCCCCGGTGTGAGAGTTACTTGCAGGTTTCCGGCGTTCTACCGGCGAGGACAAAGATCGATCCACTCCAAACCGGACCAGGACGCTCACACTTGCATTATTGGCGCCGTCTGTAGGGACTTTCGTTAAGAAGTTATGTTTGAAGCTCAGCTATGGCGGACGGAATTCCCAAAAACTTGCAGTCAACATTCGACGAGGCTTGGACGATGACCAGGTCGATGGGGAAAGGCCCTCCTCTGGGTTTTTCCGGCCCATCGCAGACACCGATCACTCCCACACATAGGTGTGGGAGTGACGACGGCGATTCCTGGAGGAGATGCCGGCTCCACTCGGGCCCAGGAGGCTTGCGCAGCAGCCGCGGTGGCGATGCAACCGCCACAACCACCAAATCCGACACTGGTGCAAAGAGGAGCGACGGCGCAAGGAGGAGCGCCACCACAGGTAGCTGTACCAGCCCCCGGCCAGCAAATGGTGACGATGACCCGGGAGGAGATGCAGAGTACAGCGGCAGCCGCAGTGGCGCAGGCGGTGCATCAGGTTACGAGCCACACATCTCATGCCACCACTGTGCCGACCACGGTGGCCGGGAACCAAGATGAGGATGTGTCCAGTTATGGAGAGGGGGGAGTTGGAAGAGATCGGGCGATGGAGAGGATGGCGGAGCAGTTGCGCCAGTTTCAGGACAAGGTGGAGGGAAGGCCAGAGAGGAGAGCTCGAGGATATCCCTTTTCGAGGGAGATTCTCGCTGCTCCTTTGCCGAACAATTTCAAGGAGACCAACTTGTTGTATAACGGGTCTTCTGACCCGTCGAGTCATGTGAGGACCTTTGAAAATATGGCTGTGTTACATGGATATTCTGATTCTGTTTGTTGCAGGGCGTTTCTATCGACCTTGCGCAGAGGAGCCCTTGATTGGTTTCACCAGTTGCCCTCTGGGTCGATTGTGGATTTTGAGGATTTTGCCAGCAAGCTTACCAATCAATATTCGAGAGAGGTGGCGCATGAGAAAACGTATTTGACGTTGATGGCGATGAGGCAGGGAGAGAAGGATTCATTGAGGAAGTATGTCGCTCGATATAAACAGACGTGTTTGGAGGTGCATTCGGCTTCAGATGAGGTAAAGGCGGGAGGATTGATAAGAAGTCTTCGAGCAGGGCCTTGCCGAATTTCCCTGGCAAAGACCCCTGCTCGATCATATGAGGAGGTCTTGAAGTGGTGCAGGAAGTATATTAATTTGGAAGAAATAGAGGTAGAATTCGCGAAGTTGGAAGGGCCGGCTCGACCAGAGCCGAAGAAGGAGCAAAGCCCACCAAGAGGGAGGTCGCCGAGGAGGAGTTCGCCCAAAAGAAGTGGGTCAAAAAAGATATCACCCAGGGGGAAGGTCGAGATTTGAAGTGAGAAAAGAGGGATGACAGATGGCAGGGAAGGCCGTTGTTGTTCGAGAGACAGAGGTATCATAATTTTACACCCTTGAGGAAGGATTTGACGGAGGTGCTCGAGGCTATGGAGCAGAAGATGTCGACCGAGGATGTAACATGGCCGAAGACAATGTTCACAGGCCCGACTCGGCCCAGATCGTATATATATTGTCGATTTCATCGAGATTACGGCCATACCACGGAGAACTGCTGGCATTTGAAGGATGAGATTGAAAGGTTGATTCGAGCAGGACATTTGAAGGAGTTCGTGTATCACGATAGGGTGAAAGGGAAAGGAAGGAGAAGGTGTCGGGATGATTCGGAGGAGAGAAGTGACAGGGACGAGGAAGGAGGCGATGGAGATGGTCGAGGAAAGAAGCCGAGGAGAGATGGCGATAAGGGAGGGCACGGAGAAGAAGCCCCGATGAAGAGAGGGGCGATTTACATGATTTTCGGTGGGCCAACAGATGGCGACTCGAATAGGGCCAGGAATGAGCATGCTCGAGCTGTGAAAAGGAAGAGAGAGGAGGTGGGGATCACGGCACGCATGCCGGTGATAAGTTTTAAGGCGGAGGATACCGAGGGAGTGGTCCTACCTCACAACGATGCTCTGGTGATAACCGCAGAGGTTGCAGGTTTTGATGTGAAAAGGGTGTTTATCGATACCGGGAGTTCGGTAGACGTGATGTTCTATGACTGTTTTGTGCAAATTAACAAGGAGCTGAATATGGAGTTGAAACCGGTGACCACGACACTCTACGGCTTTAACGGGGGAGAGGTTATGCCGATGGGGGAGGTCAGTCTGCCCGTGGCGCTGGGATCAGGAGAGCTGAGGATGGTGTGCATGGTGAGGTTTGTGGTCGTAGGAGCGGAATCATATTATAACATCATCATGGGGCGGACGAGCTTGAATGCGTTCCATGCGGTCGTATCCACGTACCACATGATGATCAAGTATCCTGTGGGCGAAAACGTAGGGGAGATTGTCGGGGACCAACTCACTTCGAGGAGCTGCTATCAAACAACAGTGAGCAATAACAAGCAGTTGGCAAGAAGACAGGCCAAGTCGAAGGAGGAGGAGACTAATCGACCGGGGGGGTCGAGGACGAAAGAGGATAAACAGAGGATGGAGAAGGGTAGGGAGAAAATGGATATCCAGCCAGAAGGAGAGGTTGAGGAGATCCAGATGATCGAAGGGGGTGAGGAGAGAAAGTTCAGAATCGGGAAGGACCTGGAGGAGCCTATTCGGTCGAGGCTGGTCGATCTGGTCAGGGAGTTTGCCGACATTTTTGCCTATACAGCAGAAGAGTTGACGGGAATAAGTGCGGAGGTAATCGAGCATCGGCTGAACATCGACCTCAGTGTGAGGCCGGTGAAGCAGAAAAGGAGGCATCATGGAGCGGAGATGGACAAAATCATTGAGAAGGAGGTTGAAAAGCTATTGGGAGCAGGCCATATCAAGGAGATCCAGTTCCCAGAATGGTTGTCGAATACAGTAATGGTGTCGAAAGAAGAGGGAAAATGGAGGATGTGCATTGATTTCCGTGATCTGAACAAAGCATGCCCCAAGGATTTATACCCACTACCCATAATCGACCAGCTAGTCTACTCAATAGCGCGGTGCGAACTGCTAAGCCTGATGGATGCCTCCCAGGGATATCACGAAATTCCCTTGACAAGGGAGGACAGGAAGCGGGTGAGTTTTGTAACGAGTCGAGGAACCTATTGTTACGTGGTCATGCCCTTCGGCCTAAAGAATGCGGGCGCCACGTATCAAAGGTTGGTCGATAAAATATTTAAAGAGCAGCTGGGGAGGAACATGGAAGTGTATGTGGACGATATGTTGGTGAAAAGAAAGGAGGAGTTGGATCATGTGCGGGACTTAAAAGAGACGTTCTCAACATTGCGAAGGTATGGGATGAAATTGAATCCAGCTAAGTGCTCTTTCGGGGTGAGGTCAGGAAAATTCTTGGGTTACTTAGTGACCAAGAGAGGTATTGAAGTGAATCCTGAAAAGGTTTGGGCCGTAATGGAGATGAAGCCGCCGACGAATATTAAGGAGGTGCAGATCTTAGCTGGTCGGATTGCAGGGCTGAGTTGTTTCATATCGAAGGTGGCAGAGAAAAGTGGCCCATTGTTCAAAACACTAAAAAAAAGCTCGAAATTTCAATGGACGAAGGAGGTGCAGAGGGCATTTGAGGAGTTGCGAGGGGTGTTGGCCAACCTTCCCTTATTGGCTAAACCCGTACAGGGCGAGGAGTTGGTGCTATACATTTCTATTGGAGAGAGAGCTGTGAGTTTGGTGTTATTGCGGGAGGAAGGGGTAGCGCAATTTCCTATCTATTACGTGAGCAGGATGATGTAGGGGGCAGAGATGAGGTATTCGGAGATCGAGAAGTGTGTTTTGGCTGTGTTCGTAACTGCTCGAAAGTTGAGACCTCATTTCGTGAATCATAGGGTTCAGGTGCGAACGAACATGCCGCTGGGAGAAACGCTTGGCCGACCATCAGTCTCTGGTCGATTGGTGAAATGGGCGGTCGAGCTGAGTGAGTATTCTTTGTTATATGAGCCGAGGAGGGCCATAAAGGCGCAGGTGTTGGCCGATTTTATCCAGGAAGGCACGAAAGTTGAGGAAGAGTCAGGAGGAATATGGCAGTTGTTTGTGGACGGATCTGTGGCACGAAGCGGAGCAGGATTGGGAATTGTCCTTGTCTCTCCTAAGGACGATTACTTTGAATTTGCGGCTAAAGTGGGGTTCAAGGTATCTAACAACGAGGCCGAGTATGAGGCAATGATCAAAGGCTTGAGTTTAGCCAAAGCAGGAGGAGCCCGAAAATTACAAGTGCATTCTGATTCTCAACTGGTGGTCGGGCAGTTTCAGGAGGGGTTTGAAGTTAAGGAGGACCGGATGAAAAAGTATCTTGATGAGATGAGGAAGTTGAAAGAGGAGTTTGATTCATTCAAGCTGATACAAATCCCTCGAGGAGAAAATGGTCGAGCGGACCTATTATCGAAAATTGCTCAAAGCTTGGTGGATTGTAAGAGCAGAAGTGTCACCTTATTGCATCTCGAAAAGAGTGCGGTCGAAGCAGAAGTGGCGGAGATTGAGGAAGTGGAGGATTGGAGGGCCCCGATCTTGGAGGAGCTGAGAGGGGGAACGGTAAAGGCGATGAGGAGATTTTTTGAACATGGAGGCATTCTCTACAAACGGCCGTATGCGGGACCGTATTTGCGTTGTGTCACTAAGGAGGAAGGTCGATATGTGCTGAGAGAGATGCAAGAAGGATGCTGCAGTGATCACAATAAGTCAGGGGCCTTAGTCGCAAAGATTCTGAGAGCAGGATACTTCTGGCCCACGATGAGGGAGGATGCGAAGGTGATGGTGAAGAAATGCTTACAATGCCAAAAGCATGGCCCCCTCATTCACCAACCGGCAGAAGCGATGACAACGATGAGTGCCCCTATACCATTCGCCCAATGGGGTATCGACCTGGTGGGGCCGATGCCCCAGAGAATGGGGCAGAGGAAGTTCTTGATAGTAGCGGTCGATTACTTCACAAAGTGGGTGGAGGCCTAGCCCTTGGCCAAGATCATGGAGGAGAAAGTAATTAAATTCCTATACAACAACATTTGCTGCCGGTTTGGCGTGCCCAAAGTGTTGATTTACGACAATGATACTCAGTTCAATGGCAAGCGGATTCGAGCATGGTGCGAAGACATAAAAATCGAGCAACACTTTGCCTCCGTTGCTCATCCGCAAGCCAATGGCCAGGTCGAAGTAACCAACCGAATTATATTGAATGGGCTGAAAACAAAGCTGGAGAAGGCCTCGGGAGCATGGGTCGATGAGTTGAGCTCGGTACTTTGGGCGTATCGCACAAATTCGAGGTCGACAATAGGAGAAACCCCTTTCAGTTTAGCTTATGGAATGGAAGCATTGCTTCCGGTCGAGGTCGAGCTATCATCACAGAGGTCGAGCACATATAATGCTGAACAGAATGAGGATCTAATGATGGCGGCCCTGGATAATATTGAGGAGCTGCGCGGAAGAGCAGCAATCAGGGTGGAGGCGTACAAATAAAGGATGCGAGCCGCTCATGACAAAAAGGTGAAAATTCGCAGACTTCAAGTCGGCTACCTTGTTTGGAAACGCGTCGATGTGCTCAAGCATGTGGGAAAGCTGGAGCCAAACTGGGAAGGGTCATACCTGGTCGAGCGAGTGCACGTAGGAGGAGCGTACTCGCTGAAGGATGCTGAAGGCTGATCACTTGCCAGGTCATGGAACATAGCTAATTTGAAGAAATATTATGTTTGAAATTTTTTTCCTTTTTGAGGAAAGCTGGAAAATCTGAACAAAGATGTAAATTGCAAAGTTTGCTCAAAGTTAATGAAGTTCAGTGATTCTCCTAATTTTACTCGCTGTATTGCACATTTTCTTATGCTTGGAATGTTGGTATAATTTGGATGACAGGAACATATGTGGTGTGGTTTGACTTGGAAGTCACTTGTTTAGAACATTCCTTGGGGTGGGCAGGTTGGTCTAAGACCTCCTGTTTAGAACATTCCTCGCGGGTGGGCAAGTGTGAAGACCAAAACCCACCATGACTAAGGCCCTCGGGCTAGGTGGTCACTTGTTTAGAACATTCCGTGGGGTGGGCAGGTTGGTCGAAGACCTCCTGTTTAGAACATTCCTCGCGTGTGGGCAAGTGTGAAGACCAAAACCCACCATGACTAAGGCCCTCGGGCTGGGTGGTCACTT